AGAGAGAGAGAGAGAGAGAGAGAGAGAGAGAGAGAGACCACAGGAGCCAGGCAGTGGTGGTGCATTAATCCCAGCAATCAGTAGGCAAAGGCAGGCGCATCTCTGTGAGTTCGAGGCCAGTCTGGTCTACAGAGCGAGATCCAGGACAGCCAGAGCTGTAACACAGAGAAACCCTGTCTCGAAACAACTACAAAACAATCAAAAAAGAGAGTGTGTGTGTGTGTGTGTGTGTGTGCCCGTGTGTGTCCTACAACTCCCTTCTTGAGAACTCAGCTTCTTTAGAGTGCCTTCATTCCTCACACACACAGCAAGGGGCCTGGTGTTGCCCTTTATCCCTCCTCAGTTGCCTGGAAGCTGGCAGTGAGGATCCATCCAACAGTCAGGTCTAATTGTGTTGATCCAGTCTGTAGATCCCAGGAAGGGATGAACAGAGTGGACACTAGGACCCAGAGAACAACTCAGGCACAAAGCCTCCCCCCCCCCCAGCTGCTTCCTGCATCTCAGGCCTTCCTGCGGCCTCGGCCTCCTCCCCCGCCCTCTTCCCCTCCATCCTCTTCCTCCTCTTCCCGTTCTCCCACTCTCTCCGGTTGGCCTGGCCGAGCTGGTGGAGGGAGACCTCCTACCCTTCCATTCTCGGTGTGTGGGTTTTGTGGGACACTAACCCATAGCACGTGCAAAAGAGCTCGGTGCGTGGGGGATGGGACGTGGGGAAACCGCCTGGGAACCCTGAAGATTGGGGTGGGGAGGAGCCAAGAAGCACTGGGCTGGCTCCCTCCAGTAGTGTGCCAGGAGAGGGAAGATTTTGGCTCTTATCTGGAGCCGGACCTCAGGCTTTCAGATGTCCCCTTCATTTTTGCACAGCAGGCAGGAGACTTACCCCTCCCCAGTTCTGCACTTGGGGGATCTGTGCAGGGTAAAGAAGCCATCCAGGTGCCTCCTCACCTTCTGACCCTTCTTAGAAACCCTCTTTCCTGAACAAGCTTTAGGACTTGTACCCAAGTTTAAGTCTGGGATTTGAACCTCTCTCCCACCCTCCCCCGACTATGGCAGTTAGGTGGCGTTTTTTGTTTTTTTGTTTTTGAGAAAGAATCTGGAGTATCCCATGCTGGATTTGAACTAGCCATTGTTGCAAAGGATGACCTTGAACTTCCGATCCCAACCGCCTCCACCTCCTGAGTGCTGGAGTTACAGACTTGAGTGATTGCTTTCCTGAGGCTCTAACCCAGGCTCTCCTGCATGCTAGGCAAGCATCTAGCAACAGAGCCACATCTCCAGCTCCCACTGTGATAGTTGGGCGATGCCCTGCTGCTCACCCCTTTGCTAGCTGGGAATTTGAGCAGAGTGTCCTTACAGCTCCTGTGTGGATTGGGGGAGGGTGCAGGCCCCTGGGTGTTCTGCCCAGAATCTCCCACACCCTTAGTGGTGAGTCATTTTATCTGGTCCCAGCCCAAGGGGTCTGTGCCCACACTCGGGGCCAGGTGGGAGGAGGGGTTGAGAACCAGCTGTTGGTCCCTTCCCCCAACATCCTTGGCAGAAAACTAAGATGAACTGGACTTAATAGGCACCCTCAGGTCTCCCTTGTCCCGTGGTTTCTCAGAGTGAGACCCCTTCAAGGGCTTTGGGATGTGAGGAAGTAAAGTGAGCAAGTAGAGATTATTATTTCCTGGGTTCCTATATGGCAGAGCAACAACACCCAAGCTGGAATTTCGGAAGGAGTTTTAAGGGAGTGAGTGAGAATTACGTTACCATCACTCTTTCCTTGGAGTCCAAACAATCTGCCTATGAGATGGGTGGGGCACGAGGTGTCACCTCCTCCATCCTGTCGTCCCCCACCCCCCAGTCTGAGCTAAACTTTCAGCCCTCAGGCCACGATGGTCATCCCAGGATAATCTAAAACTTCGGCTCTCCCCAGGGCCCATGTGGAGGAAACTTGTGATGTCATGGCCACTGTACCTGGTGGTCTTGGGATGGACGGTCCTTCCATTCCTTTCCCTGTCTGGGGGTGGGGATGGAGTGGTTCCCAAAGGTGAACTGGGATTCAGGTCTTGGCTGTACCGCTTACTGTCTGTGCGCCTTTGCAGAAGTCACGTGTCTCTTTTGTGCTCTGAGGGGAGCAACAGGCCTGGGAGAGTTGCCGGATGCTTATGACAGGGAGATGCCTTCCCAGCCATGGCTAAAGGATGGGTGGGAGCTGCAGAAGGCAGCGATAATCCTCCCTCTCTCCTAGCCAAGCCCTTCCTTGTGTTCTCAGGTCCCATCTGATGAGGGCCCTCTGGGAAGGTGCTCGTGGATGATCATGCCTGGAGGCTTTGCTGGCTTTAAATGCCAGGTGTAACAGCAAGGATGGTGATGACGGGTGGGGAGAACCCGATGTAGGATGAGTTCCCAGCCTTCAGCACCCTGGGCTCAGGCGTGGGCTGGGTGCCAAGGCTGGCTGCTCTTCCCAGCCCTGGGCCTTTGAGACAACTTCTGAAAGTAGGTCCGTCGTCCCCCCCCCCTCCCGTCCCCCCCCCCCTCCGGCCACTGTCATCAGAAAAGAAGCTGCTCTTTTGCCTGGTCTATGGTAAGTCCATCACACTTACCCCAGTTCCTCTGTGTGGTTGGCCAGGGCTTTGAGCTAGTTGTGGAAGCCAAGGAGGCTTGTCTTCCCGCACTTCCAAATAGGAGAGCTCAACTCTAGCATGGGGTGCCTGAGAGGGTTAGAGACCTTTGGATAACCTAGTCACCCGGGTCCGGAGGAGTGAGCAGTGGTTCACAGTTTTAGAGACCCAACTAGGGTTCTGCAGGTAGGTCTCAGTTGAGTCCTGCCTCCTCCCATCTGCTAGATGGCCTTGGGCTAGTCATCTTGGATTCCATAGTTGCTAACATGCTCAACTTGAATGTCTGAAATCTTCTGACCGGGGATGACCCTGGGTGTCTCCTCCTTTCTAAGTAGCACAGAATAAAACAGGGCTTTGAAGTTGGGGCCACTTTGTTAGGACTCCCAAGCTGCCACTTCCAAGCTCAAGGACTTTGCCAGATTTCCTCATCTGTAAGCCGGGGACAATATACCCACCTCCAGGAGTTGCCGAGGGCGCTGAATAGATCCTGACTGTGGAAAGCACAGAGGCACCCCGAGTGTGGGCTGTCCCCAATGGCACGTGTATTGGAGCATGCGTGGGGGCAGTGCATGCAAGAGTGTGGGCAGGTGTGTGACTGAGAATGAGCACCCACCCGCGGCTGCAGCTCGAGTCTGTTTCCATGAGACATTGGGCCTCTGCTTTCTTTTCAAGGTCCATTAGGTGAAATTCTGGTATGGTGGTCTGTAAGCATTTCTGCCCATGGCTCCTCCAAATCTTTCTGAATCATTTCTTTTTGCTGTGGTAGAGAGTGAACCCAGGACCCCAAGCATGCCAGGTAAGTGTTCTATCGATTAGCTACATCCCCTGCCCGAGAACGTTTTTTTTTTTTTTTTTTTTTTGAAGATGACCTCCCTTCTAAACTTCTCAAGGGGTCTTTTATTCCTGCCTCTTGGTGCGCCTCAAGTCTCTCAGTCTCTCATGGCCCCTGTAGGGAGAGGAACTGAGGGGTCCTTCTTCCCACAGCTGGGAGATTGCTGCTGCTTGGTCTTTTTTTTTTTTTGGCTGCTGGCTTTCTTCCCATCAGTCTCACACTGTACTCTGGCACCCCTTGGAAAGTTCACATGCTTCTTGGAGGCATCGGGGTGTGTGTATGTGTGTGTGTGTGTGTGTGTGTGTGTTGGGGGGTGGGGGAAGGGGTGGGACACAGCAGAGATTTCTCCCAATCCTCAGTTGCTTTAAAGGAAAGCCTATATTTAGCTAGGCTTAGAGGAGCCTGTAAATATGTATTTTGCAACGTAGTTGTAGCCATGGAGCTCTAGAGACATGCAGAGAGGTCAAGGGGGAAAAATAAGAAGCAACAAGAAAGATTAGGCAATATATTTTGTCATCAGCGAATCCAAGGGCTTTCTATTGCTTCAGCTGCTAAGAACTCACTCACATTTCTGTGTTTTGATGGCTACTATTTTTCGTCTGCTTTCTGGATCATGTGCAAGGAAGAGACAACTTTCAGAATCACCTTCTCCCATAGGCCTTTGCTCCCCCCACCCCACCCCCCCGTCCCCCGCCTGACTGGCTCCACCAGGCTCTGCTGGGCTCCCATGGGACCTGGCACAGGTTCAGTCTCCAGAACGCCACCTTTTGCCCCTCCACCTTAGCCCCTGCTCTTCAAGTAGCCTGGGGAGGATGGGGTGGAGAGTGGAAACATAAAAACAATCTTGTTACTTTGGGATAATTCTCCTTCACCAAACTCTATTTTCTAATCAAGTTTCTTCTTCTTCTTCTTCTTCTTCTTCTTCTTCTTCTTCTTCTTCTTCTTCTTCTTCTTCTTCTTCTTCTTCTTCTTCTTCTTCTTTTTAGTTGAACATTGTCTTAGAAAACAAAGAAAGTTCAGAAATCAACATCACAGCAGAATTTACAAATGCTCATATTGGGTCACGTTTGCTTCGGGTTTGTCCCTGTAAATGATATTAATTTGGGAGGCTGGGGAGTTGACTCGTCAGTAAAGGACTTGTGTAAGCATGAAGTCTATCCCCAGAACCCAAGTGAAGCCACACCAGGTGTGGTGGCCCCTGCTTGTCATCCTAGAACTGGGGAAGCAAAGAGGGAAGAACCCTCAGGGTTTAGAAGCCAGCTGGCCTGGTTGGGCGCAGGTGGTGCATGCCTTTATTCCCAGCACTCAGGAGGCAGAGGCAGGCGGATCTCTGTGAGTTCGAGGCCAGCCTGGCTACAGAGCCAGTTCCAGGACAGGCTACACAGTGAAACCTTGTCTAAAATAAATAAATAAATAAATAAACCAAAAAATAAAAATTAAAAAAAAAATAGAAGAAGCCAGCTAGCCTAGCCTACTGGGGGCTAGTGAGAGATCCTGTTAAGAAAAAGAAAAAGAAAAAAAGAAAGAAAGAAAGAAAGGAAGGAAGAAAAAGAAAGAAAAAAAAAGAGAACAAAACCCAAAGCAAACTGCAAAGGTGTTTCCATCTTCTCCGATGGAAACTCTGTCTCCAAGCACAGTGACTCCCTCCCCCTGCTGTCCCTGGCAACCACTTGTATCTGTGTGAACTTGACTCCTCTAGGTACGTTATGTAAGCATCATAGAGAATCTGTCCTTTTGTGCCTGGCTTATTTTGCCTGGTTTACATACATTGTAGCAAGTGCCAGTCCATAATCTCCCCTCTTTCCCATGCATTTCCATATTCATGGGACAGTAGTGCTTTCTGAGTCTTTACATCCTGTGTAATAACAGCAAACCCTGTATTTGTACCTTTGCCCCCCCCCACCCCCGAGATTTTTGACAGTAGGCCCCTATGTGTGCTTATGCCTGTGGTGTGTACATTTTAATTTCTGTGTGTCATTTTATCGTGTGACTAAGTCTCATTGTAGATCTTGCCAGTTCACCTACCGACGGTGTTTGGGTGGCATCTGTTTTTTGCTGATCTAAGCAGGGCCGCAATGACACATCCTGGGATTTTATCTGAACCCATTCGGGATGGTACCTAGAGACAGAAAGTCAGGTCTTTTGCTAGGGTGGTTGAACTTTGAACTTGGCCATCACTGTCCAGATGTTCTCTATAGCTGATGAATCTCCGTTCTTCCTCCCACCACCAGCAACTGTACAAGACCACATCTTGCCGACATTTGCTGCCCCACTCCCACCTTTTTTGAGGTAAGGTCTTACTATGTAGCCCTGATTCACCATCTATACTACGTAGGCCAAAAACTCAAAAGTGCTCTGCCTAAACTTGCCTCCGAGGCTGGGATTAAAGGGGTGTGTTACTATGCCCAGCTTCTACACATTTTTTTTTTTTGTTTTGTTTTTTGTTTTTTGAGACAGGGTTTCTCTGTATAGCTTTGGAGCCTGTCCTGGAACTCACTCTGTAGCTCAGACTGGCCTTGAGCTTACAGAGATCTGCCTGCCTCTGCCTCCCAAGTGCTGAGATTAAAGGTGTGCACCACCACTACCCAGCTTACACTTTCTTTTATTTGTGTGTTTGTGGCTTATATGATGGATATGTGTACTTATATGGTGTCATCCCCACCAAGGCTATCTACTTCTTTTGAGGTAGGGTCTTTGATTGGCCTGTAGCTCATCGGTTAGGCTAACTGGTCGGTGAACCCCAGGATCCTCCTGTCTCCACCTCCCCAGTTTGGATTACTAGCATGTGCCACCATGCCCCTCCCCCACTTTTTGAAAAATGTAAGTTCTGGGGATTGAACTCAGGTCCTCATGATTGCAAGGGAAGCACTTTATTGGCTGAGCCAGCCTCTCTTGTTGGGCTTTTTACCTGTTTTTTTAAATTAATTAATTAGTTAATTAATTAATTTTTCTATTATCAGCTTGATACAGTATAAATTCTTATCTTAATAGTGAAATGTTTCATTGAGGCTTGCTCAGTAATTGAGTAAAACCAAAACTTATTATAAGCCACAGTTGTCCTAGGGTCCCCCATGCTATATATGTATCCTCCATGGTTCTGTGGGTTGCAGTCTGATTGTTCTTTTTTTTTTTTTTCCTCTCATTTTGTTTTTGTTTTTTGGGTTTTTTTGGTTTTTTTTTTTCTAGGGTTTTTTGTTTTTTTTTTCCAGTGTAGGGCATGAAAACAAGGGTCTTACACATGCTGGGTAGGTGCTTTACCAGAGGGCTACATTCGCACCTGGGACTTCTTATTTTTGCTAGTCTGCTGGATGGGACATAGTTCACCTTAATGTGCGTGACCTGACTGAGGTAAAGCACGTTTCCTGAGCTCATTGTCCATCTGGGTTTCCTCTGGATAAATCACTTCAGTCTGTAACCTTAGCTGTCTTGTAGTTGCTTTTGATGGACGCTATAAAGAGCCTCATGGAGGGGCACCCTTGTCAAAAGCTGGAGTGGCGGCACACACTTTTAACCCTACTGCTGCAGAGGTGGAGACAGGCAGACCCCAGTGGCTCATCAGCTAGCCAGGTGCCAGTGAGAGAGACTCTGTCCCAAAAAATGACAGGAATGATGGCTGGAGAGGTGGTTAACAGCACTTCTTTCTCTTCCAGAGGACACGGGTTCAATTCCCAGCACCCACATAGTGGCTCACAACCGTCTGTAACTCCAGTTTCAAAAACTTCTCTTCTGAACTCTGTGGGCACAAGGCACACATGTGGTTCACAGACATACATGTGAGCAAAACACTTATCCATGTGAAAAAAAGTAAATAAATCTGAGAGAGAGAGGTGGGGGCGGGGGGCGGGGTGGCCGAGAGGAATGACTCCTGAGGAAGAAAACCCAAGATCAACCTCTAGTCTACACACATACAGACCCATAGATGTGCAGAGAGAGAGAGAGAGAAAAAGAGAGAGAGAATTGAGCAAAAGTGATTATCTTCCATATCAAGAAATCCTAGAGTTGAAGCCAAGAGTGGCGGAGCAAGCATTTAATCACTTGGGAGGCAGACGCAGGTGGATCTCTGAATTCAAGGCCAGCATGGTCTATAGAGTGAGTTCCAGAACAGCTAGAGCTACATAGTGAGACCCTGCCTCAAAAAAAAAAAAATAAAAATAAAAATAAAGGAAAAGGAAGGAAAGAAATCCTAGAGTTTGTTAGTGCAGAGACTCAACTGAGACATCAGGATGCAGATTCTTCCATCTTTCTTTTCCATGTTCCTTTCAGGAGGGTAAACCGCCGCCATCCCTGAGTGGTACCAAGATGGCTGCCTCAACTCCAGGTATCTGACACAAGCAACAGTGTGGAGATACCCAGAGGCAGAAGACAGTAGTAGATGCTTTTCATCTTAGAGTCTCTCCCAGAGCCACTCCCATTAAATAATCTTCGTTTCGTGCTTGGTGACCAGAAGTCTACACATGTCCATACTCAAACCAATCATGGGCCAGAGGAACAAAATCGTTGCTATATTTTGACCAATCGTAGTTCATGGATGGGACTAGGGAGGGGCCATCCATCCCCAAAGCCTGACAGCCTGACTCAGTTCAGTGTTCTGTGATGGAAAAGATAAATGATGCCATTTAGAATGCACTCAAGATACGTCTTTTTTTTTTTTTTTTCTTTTTCTTTACGTAAAGACAGGATCTTGCTGTCTATGTATCTCTGGCTGGCCTCAAACTCACTATGTAGACTAGGCTGGCCTCAAACTCAAGGGATCAGCTATCTCTGCCTCCAGAGCACTGAGACTAAAGGTGTATACCACCATGCCTAGCCCTGGTCTGTTTTTTTAAAAAATATTTTTAAGCTGGGTGGTGATGGTAGTGGTTGTTGTTGGTGCACCCCTTTAATTCCAGCACTTGGGAGGCAGAGCCAGGTGGATCTCTGTGAGTTCAAGGCCAGCCCAGGCTATAGAGTGAGTTCCAGGACAG